TCTAACACCAAAAGCCAAGGACACATATTCGGCCTCTGTAGTTGACTGTGCCACTATGTTTTGTTTTTGGCTCTTCCAGGTAATAGGACCATTGCCTAGTATAAATACATATCCACTAGTAGATTTTCTTGTATCCAGGCAGCCAGCATAGTCTGCATCAGTGTAGCCTATTACCTTGATTTGTGTAGTTTTTCTGTACACAATTTTATAATGAGCAGTATATTTTAGATATCTAAAAATTCGTTTTACTGCTTTCCAATGTTCATCACTCCAAGCATTAAAGAATCTGCTCACCTGATTAACTGCAAATGTAATATCTGGGCGACTGGTGGTTGCCAGAAAGATTAGTGAACCAACAGCCTCACGATATGGCAAAGATTTATTACAATTTAAAATATTTCCTTTAGACAAAGGTACACTAGGCTCTGCAGGAATCTTTAATGGGTTAGCATTAGTCATATTAAATTTAACAAGAAGTTTTTCTATATAATTATGTTGATGAATAGCAATTGTACCTGCACTAAGATCTTGTTCAATCTCAAGTCCAACAAAATGTAATTTACTATTTAAGTTTACAGTTATTTTAAATATTTGCTTTAAAGTTTCTAAAAGTTCATTAATAGCTCTTTCTGATTTTGACATGACAAGTCCATCATCAACATAAATTGCTAAATAAGTTTCAGAATTTGCAAAATTACCAACAAAAACACATTGATCACTTTTTAATTGTCTAAAGTCAAATTTATTAAGAAAGGATACAAACTTCTGGTTCCAGCACCGTGGTGATTGCTTAAGTCCATATAAGCTTTTATTCAATTTACACACTAAGTTGTGTGACTTCTTACTTTCAAAACCAGTTGGCTGCTTCATGTACACACACTCTGGTAGGTCACCATATAGGAATGCAGTCTGTACATCAAAATTAGCAAGTCTAAGGTCCTTTTCCACTGCTAACGATAACAAAATCCGCACTGAGTCATACCGCACAACCGGCGCGAAAGTGTCTTCATAGTCTATTCCACGTTCTTGCATAAAACCGCGTGCAACCAGACGTGCTTTATAACGAACAGGATTATCGTCTGAGTCAGTCTTAACACGATAAACCCACTTATTGTCTATCACTTTTGCACCATTGGGCAATTTCACCAAGTTCCATGTGTTATTAAACTTGAGGGCATCTATTTCCTCCTGCATTGCTTGTTGCCACTTGCTAGAGTCCTCACACTTTATTGCACTTTCATAACTTATGGGTTCAACTATGTCACAGTAGTTTGCTACACCATAATAGTCAGGCTTAGACAGTGTATTTCTGTTTCGTAGCTGTCTATCATTAAAATTATCATCATTGGCATCATAGAACAGATTACAATCAAAATCCTCATCATCATGATCTGTTGCTTGAGACCTACTACCTTGTGACATGTCTAAACTCTCTTCATTGTCACTTTCTTGAATATCATACATATCATCATTGTCTCTTTCTTCATTATCATCTAAGAGTTCAAATTTTAATGTAAAAATTTCCTTCTTATTTTTAATTGTTTCATCTTCATTAAAATTTACATTGCAGCTCACTTCAATTCTTCTTTTCTCACAATCCCAAAGTCTATAATTTGATGAATATCCATCATATCCAACGAACAATAATTTTCTCGATTTTGAGTCAAACTTTTTACGAAACTGTGATGGTATCAACATGTAAGCTGTACTGCCAAAAACTCTGATGTGCTTTAAATCTGGTTTTCTCCCAAACCACTTTTCATATGGAGTCATGTTTTGCACTTGACTTGAAGCTGTTCGATTAAGAACATATACAGCAGTATTTACAGCTTCGGTCCACAATTCTTGTGACACATTTTTGTTGATAAGCATAGTTCTTGCACTTTCAACAATTGTCCTTAACTGCCTCTCACTGCGGCCATTTTGTTGAGGTGTATAAGGAGCTGAACATTCATGTAATATTCCATTCTTCCTGATAAAGTCCTGAAAGTCATTATTGATATATTCTCCTTTACCTTGGTCACTTCTTAAAATCTTAATCTTATTGCCAGTTTGATTTTCAATCAGTATTTTAAAATCTTTAAACTTGTTAAGAACATCTGACTTGTGCTTTAGAAAATAAACACTGCAGTAACCACTACAATCATCCTTAAATAAAACAAAATATTTTGATCCACTTGGAGAAGAAATGTTTACTGGTCCACATACATCTGTGTGAATCATTTCACCTGGTTTGTCTGATCTGCTTCTTGTAAGACTTTTATGGGTCTTTCTTGACTGCTTCCCATACTGGCATGTCTCACAGAAAAATTCTTCTTTGTTGTCAACTCTCATATTGTCAACCAAATTAGCTGTTTTCTTAATTGTAGTGAAGTTGATATGCCCTAGGCGATCATGCCATAACTTTATTGATGATTTGCAAGCTAAATTACATTCTACAATAGGCTTAACTCTAAATTTCATGATCCACAGATTATCTCTACGTACTCCAACACATGAAATGTTTCCATTTGGCTCTAGAAATTGACACCTGTTTTTATGAGAATGATAGGTAAAGTTTTTATCTGTCATAGCTCCCACTGAAAATAAGCTGTGACTAAGTTCAGGAATGTATAGGACATTATTTATAGTACGATCATACCACTCACCTTGGACAAATGCCTGTATTTCAATAACACCTTTACCTTCTGCAGGAATCAGCTTGTCGTTTGCTATTCTAACAAACATAGGTTCAGATAGAGATTCTAATTTTGAAAACAACAATTTTTCACCAGTCATGTGTAGGCTTGCTCCTGAATCACATATCCACTCACTTTTATTTACACTGGAGGTTGACAAGTACATGGAAGAAATATCACATATATAAGCTGAACTTGATGCTATATTACTTGCTGATGACTTGTTTTTATCTTCATTTTTGGAATCATGTATTCTCTTTCTACACTCTCTAACCCAATGTCCCTTGCGTTTACAATAATTACAGGTGGAATTCTTCTTTAAGTCCTGTATATTTGTTTTCTTTTTACTGGTGGCTTCCAGTTTACTTTGTAAAGCCTCTACTTGTAAAGCAAGACGAGATATTTCAGAGTCATCATTATTCATTCTAGTTTCTTCTTTAAGCAATCTTGCTGCTAAATTTTCAAAAGTTTGCTGATCACTAGCTACAGAGTCCCAGGCTGTACGAAAGGCATTAAATCTAGGAGGCAAACTATTAATTACTTTGGAACAAACAGCACTATTACTAATAGTTTCTTTAACATCTTTTAACTGTCTAACTAATAATTCTATTGTTGATATATGCTCTGCAACTTTTGCATTCTCATGCATTTTATATTCATAAAATTTTTGCCATAGCAACTCTCTAGATATTTCTGTCTTTTGTTCGTGTATTGTGATCAGTCTTGACCACATTTCTGAAGCATTTTCGCAATTTATCAAATGTTGTATTTGATCTTGACATATGGTAGATAACAAAATTACCTGTGCTTTTGAATTTTTGTCATCCCATTCTTTCCAGTCACTGCTAGTGTGGTCTTCTGGTTCTCTAACTGTCCCATTCACAATTGGTAGCAGCTTCTCTGCTTTAAACAAAATGGTCACACTAAATTTCCATAGTTGAAAATTTGACCCATCAAATTTAGTAATATTCCCAGAATCAATTTTCACAGCTGAGGCCATTTTTGCACTTCACTAAATGTTTATTTTATAATTGTACGAGTCGAACGTAACGAAAAATAAACACGGGAAACTCACGACTTAAACGTGAAACAACTTTTACCACATGGACGTATAAATTTTACCACGCACCGGTGTGAACGACAGGCTAGTTTTCAAATTCCGTAATACCGTGTCTGGGCAACCATAACCTGATAAATAAAATAACTATACTGTCGAATTGTAAAAGTTTATTAAACAATAATTATTAGCCTGAGAAACTAAGAATATTAATTAAACATGTGTAACCGTTATTACATATTAGAGAACATTGACATAACCTTAAAAACTTAATTCTTCTTTTTCTTATATCTTGAATATTACATTAGTACGGGAGCTTATATTAACAATATTAATCAATAGTGTAAATGCATTATCAGTGTTTTCAGACACTTGCAGTGGACAAAACAGGAACCAAAAGCGCTTTGTTACTCTATTTGGTTCAAAAAAATCCCAACTTGATTATTATAGAGCAAAAGTTTCTGGAAAGTGGACACAGCTACATGGAAGTGGACAGTACGCACAGTGCGATTGAACAAGCCCAGAAGTATGTTCTTGTGTATACAATCCATAATTGGCTAACAATATTTCGCATGGCCAAAACAACATCATTAAAAAAGAAACCGTTTGTTGTACAGGAACTCAAATATAAAGATTTGTTGACTTGGAAGACCTTTCTAAGCTTATTAAAAATAAAACTAGAGACATGAAAAACGAAAAGGTTTAAAATTAAGTGTTTTCGATGCCAAAAGGATAAACCAGGAATCCTGATGGTATGATATGATCAGAATACAAAAAAAAATGTTTTTGTGAGAAGTCGAAAAATACCTAATTTGATAGAAATAACGCTAAAGGACGCGTATATGAAAATGCGGCCTATAAATTCAAAAAAAAAAACAAGATTTATTGAAGTTGTGCAAATCTGGTGTGATTCCAGATGAATTTCACTCATATTATTATAATTTACCATACTCCGATGATGTTCAAGACAATATTCCTGAACCAGCCCTTGAAGGTAATGATCCTGAAGTTGACATTTTAAGTTAAAGATACTTTAAGACAAGTTTCAAATTACGCCAATCAGTTCAGGCAAATAGGTTAAGTACAGATTTTTTTGCATTTCTTTAAACAGATTTTTGGCGTTAATTATCTTCACAGTACAACAATCTATGTTATTTTATCACAAAACTACCAAAATGTAACTTATCTGGTTTTGGCAGTAAACCTATAAAATGTTCAATAAGAGGAAAATTTAAAACAGTATTTAGAACAAATAAATAAAATCTTTATGCATATTTTCTTTTATTGGCTGATAAAACTAGATTCCTTGGAGAAATATTACAATCAAATAAAGGTAGTATCTTACATTCACTGCCATTTTCTAGTACATAAAGCCACCTATCTAATAAAATAATATTCTCAACCAATGGAGCTAATAATAATCTGATAGAATAAAATGAAACAACTTTTCTCCATGTTGTGTTTATATAATCTTCATAAAATATCACCTTTTCATCTGGAAGAGTAGGTAAATTATTATTATCACAGATTTTTTTCACATAGTCAACAAAAGTTAAATCATTACTACACTTAACACTGCCTACTATAGAATGTTTTAATCCGGGATCAACTGATGTTAAAATTTCTTCTAAGGCAGCTCTATATGCATGGATTTTAAGTTTTTTATATTCAGCATCATTCCTTAATTTTTCTGAGTAATTTTCTATAGCATGGCAAGCTATCTCACATACTAAATATGATAGAACAATGTTTTGTGTTTTACAAAAGGTACTTAATGGAAAACAAGCTTCATTTGTGGGGTTTAAAGTAATTTTCATATAACAACAACTAGCAATATTAATAAAAACTATATTAGGGCATTCTGTATACAGTCTAAGAAGTGTGGCACCAAGATCCCCGCATGGATGAAGTCCTACAATTCCAAATTTAACATTTTTATTATTGAAAGCATTTTGCACTATTCTCAAAAAGTCTTGAGCATTTAAATCATTTGTAATTCTTTTATTTACATGCACAGTTTTAAAAATATTCCTGTGACTAATTTTTCGTTTAGTTAAAACATTTTCAAAATTACTATCCATTATTTCTGCTAGCTTTGTGAAAGCATCTACAGCTTCAACAGTACACACCTTAATACCATAACCATATGAAAGCATTCGACTTAAATGTCCCACACCTGAACCAATATCTACAATATGAAAACAGTTCGTTTCTTTAGCTAGTCTGTAACATAATTTTGCCATAACATCAATTTCATGTCTTTTCTTCAACTTCACGTTTTTCCAGAAAAAATTCATAAAATTTTTATTGTCTTCAAATGGAGAAATTTCTGCTGGAAAATCTGCTCTTGTCCTCGAAAGAGTATAATTGTCAATTACACAACGCAAACAAAGCAGAGTTAGGGGATGTATAATCCCATTTAATGGCTTAGATAAATTTAAGAGATCACTTAATTCACCTATTTTAATTTCTTCAAAATAATTGCTCCATGATGTGGATAACTTATTCCAGTGATTATCTACATAATAATCGGATACATATGAATTTAAAACGTTATCAAATGTTTGATATACTTTATAACAAGTTAATAAACGTTTTTCAATATCCATTTGATATTTATAACTGAATCAAAAATCAAAATATAACCCAACCAGAGATATGTAAGAGAACATAACCTCCATCCTCTTCTTCTTCTTCTTCCTTTATTGGGTAATATCCCAGGGGATAAACCTCCATCCTCTTTGTTACCACTTGTTACAACAGATCTTCTTCATCTTCTTTTTATTGGCTTGATTACTAATGCATCCGCCAGTACCAGTACACTTGGTATTCTGTATTAACTCACAATGCGCAGAATTCTTTTATCTCGACTGGAGGTTTTTTCTGGGCCTATTATAAAACTTTAGCTAATTGGCTTATTATACTTCTTTCATTTATTTTACTAAATGGTATTATACTCATTCCAAAACTCCAAATTTTGTCCAAAAAATAAGCTCAACTGGGGTGAATATTAATTTAAAATTTACGTTTTAAAAGCTTTCTCTCTGTATATTTGAAGCATGCAACATATAAATTTTAAAAAACTTGCCAACACTGCCAAACCGAAATATTTTGTTCCATGGCTGGTTGCCTTGCCACAGAATAATAAACAATCAGAATGCCCACTCTCAGATGCCGCCTTTGAAGTTTTTCAGCACGCGCCCAATGTTTTCGAAGGAAACACCATGATACATTAGGATCATACATAGGAATAACAAGATAGGATCTTCCCGTATTACAAAATCGGTCGTGTTCGCGCATGCCGTCATTGGAGAGTAGAATTTGAATTCTTGTTAAAGTTAAATGGGATTTGTATGTATTCTGTGATGAAATTACTAGACGAAAATAAGTTAAGAGGTTCAATAATTACAATAATTGTACACATAAGGATATCTCCAAACTATTTATTAAAGATTATTTACTGAGACTATATTGTTACTATTTATGTTACTATATTTAACAATGTTAATATATTTGTATAGTATGTCTATGATTACCGTAAGTCAATTAAACCGGGTTAATTTTTCTATGCACACCACATAAACAAAACTGGTCCCCTTTAAAACATGGCGGAACGTCTGCGCGAACGAGATGCGCGTACTTAATTTTCCGTGGGCAGTGGGCATTCTGATTGTTTATTATTCTGTGGTTATGTCCTCTTATTATTATAGTGATTTCGTTTTTTGGGTGTAAAATTATTATTAGGATACATAAAATCAAATGGAAGTAAAACAAGAAATTAGCGAGGAAACATGTAAAATAGAAATAGAGTATAAAGAATTGGATGATGGTCTTTTGGATGGCTTTAAATTTGAAATTCATGAGGAATATAATAGGCAAAGTACACATGACACCTATGATTGTTTAGACTTAAATAAATGTCCCATAAATACTGAAAGAGAACATCATGGAAATAAAGTTAATTCATTTGATGAAAACCAAAAAGGTTAGTAACAATATATTCAAGTCTCTCTATATTAATTTAGAAGTATAAATGATATTTTGTTAAAAAGGAAATGTGAACATTCTCGTGACAAATCTTATTATCAATTTACAGTATCCAACAGAGACAAACTTTAGTTACAGTTACAGCATTGTCCCACTTTCAATATGTCTTTATAGACACCACTCTCCAATCTTTCAAGTAGGGGATCTGGAGTGAAGTATTCTTTTCCATTCTTGGTTTGACTCAAATTTAACAGTAAATATCAGTTAATGTGACAATGCAGTAGGCTTGGAGTATATTTTAAAGCATTATTATTTTTTGAAATATTTTCCCCTTTTTTGATAAATAATAAAAAATTAAAACAAAACTCTTAGATCAATTTCTTTTCACAATTTTAAGGAGTTTCTCAAGGTCAGATTCTTCTTCTTTTATGAATCATTCTCTTTGGATATGCTTGATCTGATTCACATTTTTACAGATTCTTACAGATACAGATACAGTTTTACAATATTTTTATTCTTAAATATAATCCTTTTACCCGATGACGGCCGCTATGTAATTAAGATATGATCAGAGGACCTAAATCAGTGGGGCATTAATATTTAATTTCCTGTATTTTATGTTCAGTAATAATATGTATTTGATTTTGTATCAATGGTAAATAAAATGAATATAATGTGTATATACTTCTTCTTAGAGTGCTGTCTCCCTATGGATGTTGGCAATCATAATGGCTATTTTTATTTTAGAACTTGCTGCTCTAAACCAATCAATTGATCTGCATTGATACCAATCACGTAGATTCTTTAACCATGAGTTCTCCCTTCAGCCAACAGATCTTCTTCCTTGAATCTTTCCCTGTATTATCAGTCTCAAAATATCATATTTTGGTCTCCTCATCACGTGGCCTAGGTATTCCAGTTTTCTGGTTTGTATAGTGGTGATTAGTTCTGTTTCTTTACCAACCCTCTCCAGTACTTCTTTACTTGTAATCCTATCAGTCCATGATATTTTCAATACTCTGTGGTATAACCAGAGTTCGAAGGCCTCGATTCTTTTTAAATTACATTTTTTTAATGTCCAAGTCTCAACTCCATATAATAATATTGAAAATGTATAACAGCGAATGGTACGTAGTTAGTTTTTATTTCTGGAATGAAGCAGAAGGTAAGCGTGGAACAATAGAAATAGTAAGTTACATACTAAAGTATCTGCAAACTCTATCAGAAAATAATCACCCCACAGATTTAGATATTACATTCTACTCTGACGACTGCACTGGTAAGCAAAAATATAAGTATTTGCTCACAGCATATCTGTACGCAGTGACAAAATTTAATAAAATATCCAGTATTATACACAAATTTTTAATACATGGACATTATCAAAACGAAGGTGAGAATGTCCACAGCGTTATCGAAAAAGAAATACAGAGATACTTTAAAGCCAGCCCTATATACATACCTGAGCAATATGCCACAATGATACGAACTACCAAAAAAACTGGCATCACTTATCAAGTGTTTGGACTTACATTTGAAGACTTCTTTGGCCTTAAACTACTTCAAGAAGAAATAGGTAGCAATTTCTCAAGTAACACCGAAAATAATATGGAACAGTATGAAGTTATATGGAACAACATTAAAATCATGAGAGTAGAAAAGCAAAGCCCGAAAACTTTTTTTTACAAAACTTTATATGAAGAAGACACTTTTAAGACAGTAAATATTGGCAAACTCAAGAAAACTAGGCCCAAAGAAACCATCGACCCTAAAATGTGTTTGCTAAGAGCATATGCAATCAGATTGCCGCTAGCTACTAACAAGAAGAAAGACCTTAAAGAACCTGTTGATAAAAATATAGTACCAAAATTATATTATGAATCTTTCTACAAACAAATTTTTGATTTAAATTAATTAGGTATTTAATTAACTACATTTAAAAGCTGTTTTTAATGTTTTTTCTTATTTTCATGTCTCTTAATGTGAATGTATGCTTTTTTAGCGTTTAACGTTTTTTAGATTTAATGCTCTTGTAAATTTACTTAGGTCAAAATAAACCTTTTTTATATTAAATTAAGTGTCTTATTCGAATCAAATTATCGTAAAAACGTCATAACTCAAAACTTCGTCTAAATTCAAATTTGTAAAACTGTCACTTTTGCAGTATAAAACATTAAAATTGAACTAACTCAATAATTGATTAATTAGTTAATACACTTTTCATGAAAAACGTCATAACTCAAAAAATTGTATTTTTAATGTAATAAAAAGCAGATACCAAACAGATCTAAACTAAATGTTGTTTATAAGACCAAACTTTAGCTGGTTTTAATGTTAAATCATCTAAATATTCCATATCCAATTAAAAATGAGTTTTTGCTTCTAATTAAAAACTACATTTTTGAGTTATGTCACTTTTGAAGCAAGGGTGCGATTTATGTCATTTCCTACTTCTGCTATCATAAATTTTATTATGCTTTAATTTAATGATTGAATTCATTTTCCCTCGTACTCAAATATTTATATTATAGTTTGTTTTGTATTTTAGGTTATTTCCAAGATGAGCACAAAATTAAAATTATGGAGACACTACTTGAAGATTCATCTTACAAAGGAAATTATATGAGTCAACATTCTGAAAGAAAAACATTAAATAAAAATATTAAAGTTGCGACTGGACAAAGACCTTACAAGTGTGAAATTTGTTTTAAACACTTAAGTGGAGCAAGTAATTTGAAAAAACATTTGAGAAGACATACTGGAGAAAAACCTAACAAGTGTGAAATTTGTTTAAAAAAATTTATTAATACAAGTGATTTGAAAATTCATTTGAGAAGACATACTGGAGAAAAACCTTACAAGTGTGAAGTTTGTTTAAAACACTTTGTTACTAAAGGTGGTTTGAAAAAACATTTAGCAACACACACTGGAGAAAAACCTTATGCATGTGAAATTTGTTTTAAGCAATTTAATGAAGCAGGTAATTTGAAAAATCATTTGAGAAGACATACTGGAGAAAAACCTTACCAGTGTGAAGTTTGTTTAAAACAGTTTGTTACTATAGGTTGTTTGAAAAGACATTTGATGATACACACTGGGGAAAAACCTTACAAGTGTGAAGTTTGTTTAAAAAAATTTATTAGTACAAGTGATTTGAAAATTCATATGAGAACACATACTGGAGAAAAACCTTATAAGTGTAAAATTTGTTTAAAACAGTTTACTAAAACATGTAATTTGAATAGACATTTAACAACACACACTGGAGAAAAACCTTATGCGTGTGAAATTTGTTTAAAACAGTTTACTTGTGCAGTTAATTTGAAACAACATTTGAGAGTGCACACTGGAGAAAAACCTTACAAGTGTGAAATTTGTTTAAAACAGTTTACTTATGCAGTTACTTTGAAACAACATTTGAGAGTGCACACTGGAGAAAAACCTTACAAGTGTGAAATTTGTTTAAAACAGTTTGCTTATGCAATAATATTGAAACAACATTTGGGAGTGCACACTGGAGAAAAACCTTACAAGTGTGAAATTTGTTTAAAAAAATTTATTAGTACAAGTGATTTGAAAATTCATTTGAGAAGACATACTGGAGAAAAACCTTACAAGTGTGAAATTTGTTTAAAAAAATTTATTAGTACAAGTCATTTGAAAATGCATTTAAAAAGACATACTGGAGAAAAACCTTACAAGTGTGAAGTTTGCTTAAAAAAGTTTGTTACTACAGGTGGTTTGAAAAAACATTTAACAACACACACTGGAGAAAAACCTTATGCATGTGAAATTTGTTTTAAGCAATTTAATGAAGCAGGTAATTTGAAAAAACATTTGAGAGTGCACACTGGAGAAAAACCTTAAGGCGGCGCCAGATATGCAGTATTTGGCAAATACTGAACAAGTGCTTGCTATTTGCCTATTAGTGTGGACGGGTTGCTTGTAGTGAAGTAACAAATGTTAATTCTATAAGTGAAATAATTGCGTTGAAGGACTTGTCATTTAGTTTCGTGGAAAGTGTTGGATTCACAAGTCTGTGTCCGCCTTATAATTTAAAGTCGCGTCAGCATTTCACTCCATTTATATGCGATAAATTATTTGGCAAAGTAAGTCAGAAAATTCTTGAATTACTAAAATCCTTCGAAAAATTTCATTTACTACCGACATTTGGTCTGATAATTATTGTTCTGGAGTTTCATTGCTGTTTAACTTTTCATGGGATAACAAAAGAATTTGAAAGGAAAATGATAGTGTTAAAAGCAGAAGTGTTTAATGAAGACCGCCACACCGGAGAAAATATTGCTCATAAACTTAAAGATAGATATCTTGTCGTTTTGGGAAATACCCAAAGAAAAAGTGAAATGTGTAGTTCATGATGCAGGTGCTAATATCAAAGAAGGTGTTAACTTAATAAATGGTAAACATATTGACTGTACTTCTTACAAGATTCAAAATGTGTTAAAAGTAGGGATGAAGGCTCAAGAATCTGTCGTGGCTGCCATAACAAAATGCAAAAAGATGGCAACTCATTTTCATCATTCGACTGCTGCCCAAGATGAGCTGACCAATATACAAAAAAGACTTAAAACCCTCTTAAGATTATTCAAGAATATGCTACTAGGTGGAACAGCACTTTTTATATGTTCGAGCGTATTTTTCAAGTCAAAGAGTCATTATGTCTGTACGCTTCGGCAAATAATAAAGTTCCTCAGCTGGCTTCTGAAGAGTGGATGATTGTTGAAAAACTTATCGGTTTACTAAGACCATTTGAAGAAGTGACCAGAGAGTTAAGAAGCTGTCGATGTTTCTATTTCTTCTGTAATTCCCTTAATTGCTACTCTAGAAAAAGTTGTTCATGATCTTGAGTCATCCGATGAACACATTGGTGATACGATTATCGTCATAAAAGATGAGCTTATTCACAAGTGTTCGGGTTTAGAGAATGAAATATTGTTTGCCACGGCGACCTTTATTGACCCAAGATACAAAGCAAAATTTTTTAAAAATATGTCAACTAAAGAGCTTGTTAGTTTGGATTTGCTCAGAGACAATGAAACCGACATATCTTCCAATTCACTTTACCCGAATGCAAAGCGTGTTAGATTAAATAATGAATGCGAAGATTGCGAAACACACAACAGTCTGTCCTTAAAAGAAACGATGAGTTTACTGGTGAATACGAGTGATAGTGAAGCAGATGACATGGCTCTTCCTGGTTTGCAAAACTCTGTCCATCTTTTAATCCTTAAAATCCCTAAAGAGTTTAATATTCCTCTTTTAAATTTTAATTAATAAAAAATAACAGTTCTCCGTTTTTGTTATTGTTAAAAACAAACTTGAAAAATAAGTAAAAACAGACAACTGTTGTTTTTTAATGAGAGAGGGCAGTATTTTTGTTTAATACAAAAACAAAATTAATATAGCTTGTAAAATAAAGTGAGTTTTCTTAATGAAAAAACTGAGAAGTGAATGGATTTTTATTTTATTAACCTAATCTTCAAATTATTTTTTTTTCTATATTCATATTCGCAAAACATTCGCACAAATTTTGCGAATGCGAATATACAAAAATATGTGAATATTCGCGAATGCGAATATTCGTTACATCACTAGTTGCTTGCTATTTGGCATTCACCAATTTTAGTATTTGTCGTGTTCCTGTACGTTGTCGGTCTTTACCACCAACGTGGTTTGCATATGAAAAATTGGCCAGCTTTCTTAAGGACAAAGATCAGCCAATGAACACAATAAATTCAGAAGTAAGTGTTAACCCCTTTCACCATTGAACATTTAGTAGAAACTATTTAAAAAGTATATAAACTATTTACAACTGGTAACAAATTCTCGAAAATATCAATTATATTTTTTGGAAAATCTGGAAAACCAATATGGCGGTGGGATCTATTGTCCCAGTAGTGTTTTTCCGTAGGACCATTTCACTTTTGCAAACTGTTTTCTTTAATTATAACATTTCATATTTACAAATTGCTTCGTAATTTTCATCTTTACAAATAGTTCATTTAACATTATTACTTCAAATATTGTAATCATAATATTTCATATTTGCAAGTTGTTTCTGGATTTTCATTTTGCAAATAGTTGATTTAATGTTATTACTTTTAAAATGTTGATTTTAATCAGAACATTTTATATTTGATAACTATCTTTAATTTTCATCTTTGCAAACAGTTCATTCTATTATTAATTTTAAAACGTTTTGATAATAACATTTTATATTTGCGAATTGTTTTTATTATAATCCTTTCATAATTGCAAATCATTATTTCTATCACATTTTCATCTTTGGAAAAAATATAGTTATTAATTATAATTTTCTATATTTACAAATCGTTACCAATTATTACTTTTCTAAGTGTTTGTTAATTCGAATATTGGAAAAGGGATTATTAATCATACCTTTTATCGTTTACAAACTATGACCACAGATCACCTACCTCCAGTTATTAGTGGTCTGTGACTATGACTTTGATCTTTGAAAATTGAATATTAATTGTAACGTTTTATCTTGAAAAATGTCAATGAAGTGTATCCTATCTATGTAAACCTGTTCATATGTTTAATTGTAACTTGTCATTTGTTTGCAATTGCTGTTAATTGTATCTTTATTTTGAAAATTGTTTATTGTGTTATATGTAAACCTTTTCAATTTTTCTCAATAAAATTTACCTACCTACAGAGTCTCCAAAGCGAGGAGGATGTCGCCCTGGTGCATAGAGTGACCAACTAATACGCACCTTGGTGCGCATCGCCCCGCCTTTTACATTTTATTCATGTTCTTATTGGCCAAGAGATCTGAAAATCTCATATAAATTATTAATTAAACTTTAAATATGGGATTCTTCGGATCTTGGCATCAGTCCAGAGACCACAGCCTTACCTAGAGCACATATGCTCTAGGAGGGCAACGGTCGGGCTCTGCTCCACCTTTTGCTACCCCATTACTACCATTACTCTTTTTCAAGACTTAGTAATAGAAACATTAAATCCACATCCAAGATACGGATGCACGCTTAGAGGTATTTCACCTTATGATGCCTGAAACCTCTAAGTAGAGCGTACAGCGGAGTGTATAATTTAATAGATACACTCTTGCTGCGACGACAGAGAAAGACTTGACTCTAATAAAACTTAGTGTTTGTCGTAAAATATTTTGCACTGAATTCAATTATTCATTTAATAAATCTTCAAAAGATCTATGTGACCTCTGTGCTAAAATAGACTGCCTGAAGAAAGAAAACGCCCTTAATGAAGAAAAAGAAATATAAAAAGCACATGCAAGAAAAAATTTTAATGAGAGAAGAGAAAAAGACGGATATTGAAAATGGTAACACAGCACTGTGTTTTGTCTTAAACAATGTATTGACATATCAAAAAAGAGACGTCAAAAATTTCTTTTATAAAAGTAAGCTAAATGTGTATATACGTCCATGGTATAACATCACAGCGCACCTTTCCATAAACTCGGTTTATTAAACCGGACTGTTTATTGCGCTATTTGGTCAGAGGCAATGCATGGTTAGGATGGGAATGATATTGTCAGTGCTGGATACAAAATCCTGAAAAGGGTTGTAGAAGACTATCCGTTATTGGAGGATTTGACTTTGTGGAGCGATAGTTGCGTTCCACAAAATCGCAATAAATTTATAAGTTTTGCTATGGCACATATTTTAAAAACTAATAAGAACTTAAGAAAATTCAAACGAAATTCTCAGTACCTGAACATTGCTGCATACAAGAGTTTGATTCAGTTCAGTGCAATTGAGCGCAGTATGAGAAAATCTTAATACTTTTCTCCACTTTCGTTATTAAGAGTCCTTTTGAAAGTAAACACAACAAAGCCTTACGGCATACTTCAAATGAAAGAGCCAGATTTTCTGAATTTGTCAACCTATTCATCAAAACTGAATTATACTGAAGTTCCATTTTCAAAGGTGGTTTCTTTACAATTTACTACATATTTTTATGACATCGGTATCCGAACCACTTTTAACGAACGTGAATACAAAATCATCAGTTTGGAATGCGAGAAGACATACTGATGAAAATGACGAAATACACATATCAATAAACAAAAATGATATTAATGTCACCTTGGCACAAAATAAGGTGGATGCTCTGAAAACTATGTACAAGTGGATGCAAGACATTGCGAGATGTAGACAGAAACTTTTATGTTCACGTGTTTTTCAACATGTCTCAACATAAACAGTAAAACTGAGATTGCTGATCAGAAGATAAGGTTACAAAATCTTATGTTTCATGTTTTTGCATTTTTCGTTTATTTTATTAGAGTCACAAAGTTCTATCTTATTTTATTTTTTCAATAAAAATGCAAAAAAAAATTAATATCTTTTATTCTTTTTTTTTAATATGCTTTTGCAGTAGTCTTTCATCTTTTATGTTTAAAACAAAAGCAAATATACATTCTTGTATACCAAATCTAATGGTCAAAATATTCAGTCATTTTTCTCAGTTTTTACATTTTATATCATACAACCTTGTAATTCAAATATAATAATATTTGCCTAACAAACCCGCTAAATATGAAATACAAATATTTGCCTTTTGTCACTCGAAAATATTTTGTCTCAAATTTAGAAATGTACTGTGGCAAGCAGCCTAACGGAAGATAGGTTTATAGGTATAATAATTATTAACTTAATTACTGGATGCAATTCAGTGAGCCCGAAGTTTTATGTAGGTATTATCAATGACAATATTTTTAATTACAAAAAAAATAAAATACATGGGAAAATATCTGAAATATAATCACGTATGAATCTTTATAAAGTTGCCAAAACCTTAAAAAGTCCAGTATACTATAAGAGGAATTGATTTCATATCAAATAAGACTTGCACAAAATAAAACAAAATTTACATTGATTGCACAAGACAAAGGTACAATAAAATTAGATATAAGTGATATCAACAATGAAACAAAATAAATATTATGAAACGTTGTGCCACAATCAGTTACGTGGTTAATCTCATGATAGTCATGATGACCAATAGTCTGAGTCTGAATTCTAGAAATTACTTTTAATTATTTTCCCAATGTGCATGAAACCGGCACGCAAGTTTGGTTATCTATCTGACTCGCAGTGTTGTTAACTCCAAAACTGAATATTTCCGTAGAGGGCGCTTCAAAAATCCGTAGAAATCCGTAGAACAGAAACATAGCAATTTGTATATGTCTCAGCCACAATGCCCACAATATGACGAACGACGATGCAACACTGACTGCATACATTGAGGGATCAATTCAATTGAAAATTTAAATGGAAAAAAATGTATGCTACATGACTCGACGTGTAGGGTGTTTCAATAATTTACCAAGTACATACTTTTTTATGCAACAAATTTATTTGACAAAATATATCTTAAACAGAAACATTCATATTCCAAGAAAAGTAAAAAAACTAGATATAAAAAATATACAGAAAGATATACTAAATAAAAAATATACAGAAAAAACAAATACCTATCTATAACCGAATAAAAGCAACAATTAATCTATTAAGCCTTATCCTCTTCCTCGGATGATGACAATACTTTTTTATGATCATATAAAATTTTACTTTCCATATTAATAATGACATTTTTATCTATTGTTTAAATAAAATATGTTTTGTCTGCATCGTTAAAGTAGATCTCGTATTTATGTTAGGGCGGGGAGTCCCCAAGGTAAATCTCAGCATTCCATCTGAGATCACTGTTATTCCCCTAAGCGCCGGGGATTCACCTGTTACGAAAATTGAAATTCATCCCTACTCCTACTATTACACTACAAGTAGAGTTCTTTTTCACGGCATTACAGAGAACGAGGACTAGATGTCAATTAATTATTTGATTAAAATTTCTATTTCTGTAAAAAGCTAAGAGTCAAAATTTTATTTTTATAAAAAGCTAAGAGTAAAAAATCCCAATTTTATTCTTGATTGCTTCAGCTGAAAAATCCGTAGAAATGTGATCGATATCCGAAAATCCTAAATAATTTCGAAAATCCGTAGATCTACAGATAAATCCGTAGAGTTAACAACACTGCTGACTCGTATCACGTCACATTCAAGTTGCATTGCGCATATTCGTGGATACTTTCGTTAATAATCGATTTATACGCTGTTGCCACAGTAAATAAATCTCTGAGAGGATAAGATTAAAATATAAAGTGGGGAGAGTGAAGTAACAGCAAAATTTTAGAATATTAAGATTGAAATTTAGATTATTAAGATTTTTTATGATAAATTACAAAATAAGTACAATGGTCAAACGCAATTAGAACTTACCACAATTCGCTGTATTTAGAACATGTTCATCTGGGTTCATCTTGAACTAGATTTAAACACTAATAAAGAAATCAGCACAAAGTGTGTGATTGTTTTATAAGATAAACGTTTGTTGGCTACTGCTCTACTGTTATTATCCTAGTTTTTGAGTAGGTATTCCTTTCGAGATAAAAGTTTTTCTGCAAGCGTCTCTTTTCTGTTTGTTAACTAGACTCATTTGGTCTGGCAAGTCTTTGCATATGCATCATCATTATATTTTTAATCAAAATATTTATTAAAACGAATCTTAATTAGAGGTTAAGACAATATTCTCGTTATTAATGTATAAATAAGTACTTATCGCACTAAGATCAGAAATAAAGGCCTAAGAAATATAACCAGAGTTACAGATGTTATGGAGAGGGCTTGCAAATTTAAAGTGGAGATGGACTAGCCACGTAAAGGCTGAAAGGGGAAGGTGGACACGGAAGTTAGCAGAATGGAGACCAAGATCAGATAATCGAAGCAGAAGAAGACCACCTTCTTATCACGATTGCAAGATGATCTGCGAAAGATGACGAAACATTTCATTTGCTCAAGACCGTGTACTCTAGATACAAAAAGAGGAGGCATATGTCCTGCATATAAAAAATAAACTTTTATTTTAATTGATACTGTTTTTTTTTTTGTTAATAAACTGCATCTGAATTTAGTTGTAGAAAATGCAGCAAGATGGGCATTCCAAGGAAATATATTGCACTAATTACTTTTTGCAGACAATCAGTTCATTTTTGGCTGTAGTAGCGTCACGTAATTTGTTTGATCATTTCTGTCCAATTATCTCTCTCCTGTGCGTGTTGTTTTGCTTAGGAGAATGAGTAACCAATCATCTCCTTTATTTGATCCGACCATCGTACTGGAGCTCTTCCTCTGGATCTTTTAACCGCTACGTTACCTTCAACTATCATTCGCTCCATGCCTTCTCTTCTTCTAGTTAAATGTCCAAAATACCTCAGTATATTTTGATTGATAGTTGTGATGAGTCTAGTATTTATGTTAAGTTCTGCTAGAGTTGAGTTATTTGTGCGATGGGCGGTCCATGATATGCGCAATATTCTACGGTAGATCCACATTTCAAATGCCATTATACGCTTTGAATCGGCTTTTTTTATTGTCCAAGTTTCTAAAGCATAGGTGGCGATAGGAAGTAATAATGCTCGAACAACTCGTAATTTTGACGAACCTCGTCTTCGCATCCTTCACTGTTAGTAATAAGGGAGGCTAAGAATTTAAATTGCCTGACCACTTCTTAACATGCCATGATTCTTATGTCTGTCTGGTTTTTCTGATTATATCGATGATCATCACTTTGGTTTTCTGCATATTTATCAAACCATATTCCGTACTCACCGTGCCTAACCTTTTCATAATTTGTTCCAGTTCTTCTAGTAATGACGCCAATATAACAGTGTCATCAACATAACGAAGGTTTTTGCTTTTTCTTTCTCCTATCGTTACTCCACCTTGCCATTCGTCAAAAACTTGACGCATAATATGTTCACTATGTATATTGAATAGGATATTATGCATCCCTGTCGAACTATAGATTTTAATTTGAAATTTTTCGAAACCACATTATTAACTCTTACATTAGCAGTGTTATTTACATATAGTCTTTGTAATCAATATATTAGATGTTCTGGCGTACCCATTTCTCTAAGTATATGCCACATTTTATCCCATTTTACGACATCGAAGGCATTGGAATAGTCAACAAAGCATTAATATGTTTCTATGTTAAATTCTCGAGATTTTGCGATAATTTGACGAATATTAAGAATATGTTCTCTTATTCCTCTACCTGGGACGAATCCGCATTGTTCTTATGGGATTTCGTGGTAAGAGAATTGATTTTAGTCTTTCATTGATGATGGTAGGAAGTACTTTGCTCGCGAGTGATATCAATGTTACTGTACGGTACCTAATTAATACAATCTGTCGGTGAACCTTTTTTATATATGGGAATCAACTTGAGTTTACCCCAGTCATTTGGCTACTTTCCGGTATTCCAGATCTTATTGCAAATTCTAAGCATTACTTCCGTCCCTAATTCTTCCATTTCTTTGAGTGTTTCAGCTGTTATTCCATGTTCTCCTTCTGCTTTTCTGAATTTTAGCTTTTTAATTGCCGTCTCAATTTCTGATTTCAATATTTGAGGTTCTTTTCCATAACTTGTTTTCTCTGTATTATTGTCTGAGTCGTTGTTAGAGAATAGTATTTCGTAATATTGTTTCCACACCTCTGCAATAACGCCCTGCATTTTTCTTTATAGACATCAAATATCCCAAATCGCACAAAAGTAAGAACTGATATTGCACAGTAATTTTTTAGTTGACAGTCACAGGCAGGAGAGGATATAAATTGTATAAAAATATTACCAGTTTTCTATTTAAATAATTTTATTTTATACAATTTAAATTAATCTACATGATTAAAGTGTAACCTTGTATAATAAATTTTCGCACAAACTTTCTAATTTGATTGTATTCATACTGGTTAAAGCCAATGAAACTTTTACTGTATTCGTACATTAAAGACCTAAACTACGTTGATTATCCTAATAAGCCCGTTTTAATTTTTATTTTCCTCACTTTTCCCCAAGGAACACTGGCTTTTACGGTCTAAAACAAAAATGTCGTAGTCTTGGCAACCTCAAGGAGGAGCTTGATCACGTGACATACATTTTATACTTTTATGTCAGGATTTGTCCTTCAACTGACACTTTTTTAGTATCTGCCTGTGAGGTACTTTCAGCCGGTAGTGTACAAAAAACGTAAGTACAGCATCTAATTGATATAGTTTTGAAATTTGCATTGTCTTTAAACTGAAACTAATTTATGCAGATACTTTTTAATATTATGAATTGATCAAAAATTCTGTCTGCGCCGAAGTATTTTTAGCGCATCATGGAGACCTTTATGTAATACATTTGATTATGTGTGTACGTCATTTTGTATAGAACACAAATACCACGGTTTTAAACGATATGCAAGTAAATATAATCATTTTACAAATTCGATATCGTGATTTTTTTACAGAAGAGCCGGTCGCTGTGACCTTGTCTGACCTTCATATGGAAGAGCACACCCTATCATTCAGTTTCAACTTGTGATTGAACATATTTTCTAATAACTTTGCCAATGTTTGTTCTTTATTTCAAATCATATTACACTACCGATATAAATTGGTGAATTGTTCTGGTCTATCAAGTAGTCTATTAACATACCACCTATTCTTTCCAGAAAAAAGTTGCTCCTAATTAAAGTGGACAAAGTATTTAGAATATAGACAAAGAATATAATATTTAACTTTAACAGATATATCAGTGATAAAAAAGCAAGGTAAAAATAATATCAACAGAAATGGAATATTCAAGATGTCATGCTGAAAAAAGATATGAGAATATCAAAAGAGAGACTGAAATTAGATATTACATGATAAAGTACCATCATGGAAACTACAATGAATACTCATATGAAGAAGTGATAAGGATGCTAAAGAAATCTATGAAATTATTAGAAGACATCATTCAGAAGATAGTAATTGATGGAAAACTTGATTAATGTAATGAAGACAGGATTAATTATACAACCCTGTATAATATCTCCTCTCTTTATACTGCCTTCCTCCCTTATGGAGGTCACTCTTGTGTTTCTTTGCCAAAAATGCCATGTTTTATTCAGTTGAATTTTTCTAAAAAATTGGAAAGTTTTTTCTCTCTTTGTCTCAGGCCAATTCTTTCATGATCTCTTGTTACAGTTCTTCTCCACCTATTATCCAGTCTTCCTCTTCTTCCTACTAGTTGGTATTTGGGTGCCAGTCTGGTTATATTATTTTGATTTTTCCTTAGAGTGTGTCCAATCCATTTCCTTCTTTTAATAGTTTAAACAGAATTTATTCTTTAACAAGTTCAGTCCAATGTGCACCAAACTGCTGGACAGCAAATTTTTACTATGGACACTGTGTACTAATTTGGCCCACAGTATTATTGTGTTCCAATGTGACAGCAGTATGTTTGGTCTGAGACAAAGAAGCATGTCAATGCTTTGGAGCCAAACATGTTAAAAATGTTGCGAAGTTATTATCAGAAGGAAAAAAAGTAGTCCTTTATGCACACTGTAAACACTATAAAACTTTAGTAATGTCATGTTAATTTTTTCTAAAAAGAAACATACTTTGCAGTGACCTTGCATGACCTTCATATAGATGCACATACCCCATTAATAATTATTGTTTTTTCTTGTATTGGAGGATCTCTTGTTAATCATCTCTAAAATTGTTTTTAAATATGAATTTTACATCTTATGACAAAGTCACTAATACAAGAATTTAAATCTTATTCTTCTAAAGATGCTAATCTTCTATTCTAAAATATACATCTGCTCTATTAGATTCTCATTCCATTTTTTATGTTACATTTTAATTGTTTTCCAATTTTTTTATTCATTTCTATGTATTCTTGAGTATGACGTATGTTTTCCGCAAGTAGTTGTTTTCTTTCCTTCATAAGATGTTTAGTTTTGTTGCTTATTTTGCCTTCTTTACCTGTAGTGTGGCCTTGAGACGGTTTTTATGTATTTATGTTTTTGTTAACATTTTATTGATTATTATATATCAGCAACTTCCAAATATGAATGTGTTTTTATTTTAAATAATGTACTGATATTGTGATTTTTTTCAGATATTCATTCAATATGGTGAAAATTGGAATTAACGGTTTTGGCCGTATTGGTCGTCTTGTACTCCGTGCAGCTCTTGAAAAAGGAGTTGATGTAGTAGCTGTCAACGATCCCTTCCTCGATGTTGACTACATGGTTTACTTGTTCAAATTTGACTCTACCCACGGTCGCTACAAGGGATGTGTCAACAGCGATGGCAAAAACTTAGTTGTTGATGGCAAAGTAATTTCAGTACACCAAGAAAGAGACCCAGCTGTAAGTATCTTTCAAAAAATGTGCAATATTTAAATTATGTGAAAAATAATAAACTAATATAATGATGTTTATTTTAATAGGCTATTCCATGGGGCAAAGTAGGTGCTGATTATGTAGTAGAATCTACCGGAGTGTTTACCACAATTGAAAAGGCCAAGAAACATCTTGAAGGTGGTGCTAAGAAAGTCATCATCTCAGCTCCATCTGCTGATGCTCCAATGTATGTATGTGGTGTTAACTTGGATGCCTACAATCCAGCTGATCCCGTAAGTATTAAAAATGTTATATGACAGGAATATGCAAGTAACAAGTTCTGATTGACAGTATCTTTATTCTCATTGAGAAAAAAAAATGTGTTTAAAAATTATATGCCTTTCTTGACACAATTTCAAACAGTTTAAATCATAGTTTTTGTGTTTTACAGCATCCTTAATGAATAAAACATTAATATTAAACATAATATAAAAAGAAAAAAATTATGTTGATGGAAATGATCCTATAAATGTCGTAGTGTAAATAGAACTTAAAAAAAATCCAAAATTAATCAAGAATCTACCTGCAATCAAAAGTATTTAAGAAGTCATTTTTGTCTAAAAAAGTGTTTAATATAAAAAGTGTAATGACAATGAATCAATAGATAAATATTCTGTAGAAATATTCACTACCTAAATTCTAATAAATATTATCAGTTGTTTTAAATAGATATGTACTGAATATAAGTGGTTTCATTACCTAAATAGTACAATTTTTAAGTGCAATGAAATATTAGCCAAATAACTCCATTATAGATCCAAATTATTTTATGACCAATAATACACTAACTAATAAATAACTATATACAATAAAAACTAAAAATTCAGTCTCAAAATATTTTGTAAATCATTTTATTTTTTTCTTCTTAGTCATAATACAGATGAGACTAGATTTGCAGCAGGCAGTCAAGTGGCCTCAAAAACTATCATCATGATACACAGGCCAATTAAGTTGGTTTTTTTACTCAACACAACTGTATAGACAGGTGTGATAGTTGAAATGTGTAATACAAAAAGACTCTCATTTAGGGATTTATCAAAGAAAACTTTTTCAGAAAAAAAAAGATACACAAATTATATATTTATGCTAAATTAAAAACGATTAATAAACAAAAAAGTTATTGCAAAATGAACAACAAATTCCCTGTTTTTGAATATTGTTAATAACTTATTTATTATTTATTAAAATTTGTTTCAATATACCTGAATTTGAGGATCTTATCATGTTTAAATTGTCTTCTTTTAGCGTCATAACCCTGGATGGGTCTGCCTATCTGGCCATATCCCGCCATTCAGATCTCTCCTCCATTGTCTTATATTCATAGTTTTCAGGTCGTCCTCCACGTTATCCATCTCGTCCTGGGCCTTCCTTTTTTCTGCCTTCCTACCGGCTTCCACTATAACATCTTCTTTGTTGTTTTCATGTCTTCTTGTCAGTGAACATGTCTCAGCCACGACAGTCTTTGACTTTTCACAAATCTTACAATGTCATACCCTTCATTCGTATCTTTCTCTTGAATGTCCTGAGTTGAGCTTCCTCTTTTTTCGTCATTACCCAGGTTTCACAACCATAGTTTACTACGGGTCTAATCAAAGTTTTGTCTGATAGTCATTTGAGTTCTTTTGTCTAATAATTTGGATGTCATTAATCTTTTATTATTGCCTGTATGATTTCCACTGGAAATATGTGCATTCATTTTGCTACTTATGGAATTCTTCTGATTAATTTCTGTGTCCAGATATGTCAAGGCATCCACACATTCAATAGTATAGTTGTCTGTTGCTACATTATTTTAATTCTCAGGTGTTCTTTTGATGGTCATGTACTTAGTTTTTGTTTCGTTTATTTTAAGCCTTCTTTTTTGTGCTTCAGGATCAATTTTCTTGAACGATTCCATTATTGGTGGCGTTACTGGTTGTTTTACTAATAATGGCGACATCGTCTGCATATGTAGTAATTTGTACTGTTTTGGTGTTTATATGGCCGGTTTCATTGGTTTTTCTGATGACTACTTCAAGAACTAGGTTGAACAGCATGGTTGAAAGTGCGTCTCTCTGTCGCACCTTCCATGTTGATGTCAAACAGGGAGACAGTTCTCCATCTACTCTAACTGCGGCTTTTGAAGCCTGCAACATAATTTTTATGAGGCTGATATATTTTTTTGGTATACATGGATTTTGGAGGTCTTCCAGCATTTGAATATGTTTTTTGTAGTGGCTGTACTTTTTCTGAATCCATTTTGATAATCACCAATTATATTTTCGGAGTATTCTGACAATCTAATGAAGATAATGCCAGATAGGATTTTGACCAATTACAGACCATTTAGCAATGTAATTGGTCTGTAATTCTGGCATTCCCTTTTATCTCCTTTTTTATATATTGGCTGTATAAGCTCAACTGCCCATTCCTCCGGCATTTGCTCCTTGGTCTATACCAACTTTATCAGATAATAGATTCTTTCCCAGCGGGTCCTCCATATTTCAAAAATTCTGCTGAAACTCGGTCCGTTCGTTCGTTATGTTCGAGGATTTCGTGTACTTGTTTTTTCAAAGCCTCTCTTATTTTTTCTGCATATTCTAGTCGCTTGTATTCTCTTTTCATTATACATTTCTCTGCTATTTCTTGTGTTTCTCTGAAGTTGGTTAACACTAGCGTGCCTTTTTCCTCTACTGCAGTTCTGCATTCATCATCATACCATTCCGCATTTCTTTTTCCTTTTGGCTTTTCCGACAGTTTCCTCTGGAGATTCCGTTATTATTGTTTTTAATTGTCTCCATTCTTCCTCTTCAGTATCTTCCTGTCTGATTCCGTTGAGTTTTATTTGGAGAGTATTTTGATATTCTTGTGTCTTTGTTGTTGGACTTTTGAATCCTTCAACATTCCATTTTTTTAATTTGGCTATTTTCCCCTTTTGCCACTGTCGCGATTTTCTGTCACAATTTTTCTCTCACAAGATAGTGGATCTGAGTCAAAGTTCGACCCGCGATATGTTCTGACATTAGTTCTCTTTATTGCCTATCTTTTTGAGATGAGGATGTGGTCAATTTGGTTGGCTTCATTGGTTCCTGGTATTGTCCATGTTCCTTTATGGATATCTTTTCTCTGCAAGTTATTGCTAACAACTACATAATTATTTACGGTTGCAAATTGTGCAAGCCTAAGTCCATTTTGACTGGTTTCATTATGCAAACTATGTTTATGAAAGTTTCTTCTTTACACAGCTTAGCATTAAAGTCGCCTAATGTTCTAACAGCATCGTGTCTTTGGATTTTATCACATACTTCCTGAAGTTCTCCATAGAATCTTTCAACCTCGTCTTCATCAGCCTCTTCCATTGATGCATATACATTAACCGTTGTCACGTTATGCAGTTTACCTTTGAGTCTTATGGTGCAAATTTTGTCTGATATTGGTGTAAATGCGATAATGGCTTTTCAGTTACTATAAACGCTACTCCTCTTTCAGCTTTTCTCATTTCATTTCCGGAGTAGTATAATGAGAACTTATTTTTACGAATTTATCCCTGGCTCTTGAAAATGATTTCCTGCAGTGTCAATATTTCAACCCCGTATTTTTCAATTTCTTCTGCCATACTTATCATAACTCCTGTCTAAGAGGGTTCACATATTCCAGGTTCCAAATTTTAAATCCATAATCATGTCTATTTTTTTTTGCTGAGTTCGTCGTTGTGAGATCCGTCTGTTTGTTTCATTAGCCATTGTATTCGCAACAATTGAGTTATACAGGGAAGGGTTGTTAGCCATTTGCACAACCACCTATTCATCGAAGGACCAAGGCTTCCTTCTCCATCAGCCCTGACCCCACCTTCCACTGGGGTTGGTTACCCAATCTCCAGTGGGATTGCTCAGGTTACTGGTGTGTACCAACTTGGAGGTGAAGATAGGAATTGAGTATGAGAGGCTGAGTGATGCTAACAGGATACGGCATCATGTATTGCGCTTCACTACCCCTTTACACACAAATATCATGTTTAAATTGTGTGCAAAAAATTGGCTAAATCTATTGAATAGTTTTTGTGAAATTTAATTTGTTTATTAAATTCAATATCTAATATTAATTAAATTCAATATAGTTTCAAAACAGGACACGGACTAAATTTGCTCTTTTTTTTTAAGTATCAACAAATTTATTGGTTGTATTACACTGAGAGACAGTTTAGAAATGTTTTTTTGGAAATATTGTAGTAATTCCTTTTTCAATATTGAACGTTAAAAAATCGAAAATGTGCTTTATTTTTCAGGTAATCTCTAACGCTTCTTGCACCACCAACTGCCTTGCTCCACTCGCCAAAGTCATCCACGACAACTTCGAAATCGTTGAAGGTTTGATGACAACCGTACATGCCACAACTGCAACACAAAAGACTGTCGACGGACCCTCTGGAAAATTGTGGCGTGACGGTCGTGGTGCCGGACAAAACATCATTCCAGCTTCCACTGGTGCCGCCAAGGCTGTTGGCAAGGTTATTCCAAGCCTTAATGGTAAGTTATTTTTTTCATATTCATTGAAAAATAAACTGGAAATAACAATGTCATTAAAATCTCAGGTTTATTATCCAAATGTTACTTCTAACAGAACGATTTTTCCAATCCTTCATATTTATTTTTACTTCACATGATACTGAGATATTAAAAATATTTATCTCAATAAAATTGGATTTTTTCCTAGTATTAAATTAAATATTATTTTTTTTTCTTATCATCTGATAGTTATTTTTAAAACTGACCCTGAATAATGTAATTAGATAATGTTTGAACTTGTTTGTTTCTTTGATGTAATTATGTCTGGCATGGAAAATAAACCTGTTATTTTGTTGCTCATGTTTCATAACTCTGAACTTTGTGCACAACATTCAGTGATACGTCATAGTTTATTGATAACAGCAAATGTTTTGAAATTCATTTACTCTATCAGTTCTTCGTCATATAGTAAATAAAATATAAATTAAGGACATTTCAAAGATTTATTTTCTCTTTGTCTGTAACTAGCTTGCTGATTTACAATTGTAAAATGCTCTGAGATTTAAACTTTATTTATGTGCCATCTCCGCTACTAAGATTGGCTACATACATATTCTTATTTCTCGGATGTATTCATTTATTCCTATTTATTTAAAGTAGGGGGCTACAAACGATATAAAAAAAACTTATATGGCTGTATTGAGAAGGTGAATAACAAGGAACAAACTGAAACTCTCTGTTAAGAAACTGAAACTGTTATAAATGGGTGATGTTACCATTGTTTAAAGGGTGTAACAGTCATAAAGAAAATCTTATGTAAATTTATAAGAGGCTAACTGTTCCCCCATAATATAAGAAAGTATTTAACAAGAAAATTTAAAAATTATGACAAACACATCAAGATTAACTAGGAACATTACATTATATATGAGTGATTTTTGTTATTTAATGAGGCGGTGAAAAAAAAGTGGTGTTTTTTTATTTATTAAGAACATATATAACTCTACTAACATTTTTGTATAAAACACTATGATAAAGGTAGTTTTTAAGGGGTGAAATGATTTACACCACTTTTCCTTTAAGAGTTTAAAGAGAATGTACAGAAAGCAAAACATGTTTATTGTTTTTACATTAGAAAATCAGAAATAAATTCACTAGTTTATTAGTTATTATTTTCTACATCAGAAAGTGGTCCAGCTTCGTCATTACTTCATCAGATGATATAAGATTTCTAAAATAAGAATGATGGACTGGACGAATGTATGGTAGTAAATCACACATATATTTGGCTAGGTGCTGTGTACAGGCAGCAATCCAGTTGAAGATTTTTCAACAATGTTGGTCTTCCCTTCTGCTTGCTTCGAAGGATATTAATTTGTGAAAAATAAAAATCTTCATTTAGTGTTTCTTTATAGAACAGTGAAAATGGCTCCTCTTTTTTTTACTCTAATCCATTCCATTTATAACCATAACACTGATTGGTTATCTGTATTGTTTTTTTTTTATTGATTTAGTGAGTTGTGTCAGATCCTGTTCCTGAAAACCAATCTTCAGGCACATAAATCTGTTTACCTTTAGAGTGAGTTTCAATTGAACCAAAGTCTAAGTCGTTTGGTAAGTAAGAGTGTCCGCTTACCATAAACTTGTGATCAACTATTTCGATACTATTATTTTCACTTTGAACTAACTGTAACAAGGCCAAGGCAAACTTCCAGTTTCTATTTTGGCAGGTGCAGGTATCGCTGTACAAAACAACATGTTATGAATTTGATACATTGAATTCTATGTGATTTGTGACACAGGTCATCTCGAAACTGTTATTTCATCCCATCCATACATGTAGCCTAAGCCAGATGATAGTTCATGGCAGCCCAAGTTGTAAATGTACATATTACGTTTATAGTATGCGATAGATGTGGTTAGTTTTGGGAAAGCTAGGGCTTTCTCTAGGTTAAAAGTAAATGCATAGTCAGAATCGTCAGTCTGGGCCTTTTCTGTATCTTTTTCATAGGATGTACAAGCTCGGCCTTTCTAAGATGAAATTCGTTGTTTGAAAAAGTTTTACCTGGCACTACTTTTCTTTTTTTTTTCTCTTATACTCACAACCTGAATTGCGAAGCCACTTTCCTTTTTATTTTCATGTCTCTGTCATTTTCGTTCTCTCTTTGGTTGTTGAACTTCTACTTCTTCTCTATTGTTTTTCCTTTCATGGTCTTGGGGAGAGACTTCCTCGTTTGATTTACAGTCTGAAACAAACCAACTTTATTAAAATAACACTCAAAACGTTGTTCTATTTATAGGAGTTTATTTATTGTTAGTGTAGAGATTTTAACATTTTGAGGTTAGTTTTGATTTTATACAAACAATATAATACACAAGTTTAACTTACCAGTACTTTCTTGTTGAGAAACAGAAGATACCCACTTATCTGCTGAGTAAGCGAAAATACTAAGCAGGCTCCATCACTCATATTACTTAAACTTTCGTCATCCATTGTATTGAAAAATCACAACCGCAAAATAATGAATAACTGCCTTAGGAATGAAAGAATAGTGGTGTAAGTCTCTTGCACCACTATTCCCCTTACTACTACAGAGGTTCTGTTTGACTGTCAAGTTTGTGCTGCTATCTGTGAGAAAATAGAAGAGGTATGACTTATCACCACTGTTGCTTCTGTATAGATATGAATATGGAGATTTTGAATATGCACTTATCTCTATTGTATAAAAAAAGTTACTTACACCACGTTTCCTTTTACCACCTCTAATATTTACATCGTTATACATATATTTGTTGTTGTTTGTTGTGTATTAATGAATAATAGTAATTTTTTATTGATCTGTAGTGTATTAGTGAATATTTATTTTGTTGTTTGTTGTTCTCTCAATTAATAACTGAACAATTTCAGGCAAACTCACAGGTATGGCTTTCCGTGTACCTGTACCAAATGTATCCGTCGTTGACTTGACTGTTCGTTTGGGCAAACCTGCCAGCTACGACCAGATTAAGGCCAAGGTTAAGGAAGCCGCAGAAGGTCCTCTTAAGGGAATTTTAGGATACACCGACGAAGAAGTAGTCTCAAACGACTTCGTTGGAGACACCCACTCCTCTGTCTTTGATGCTGCTGCCGGTATCCAACTTAACGACAAATTCGTCAAACTTATCTCATGGTACGATAATGAGTATGGTTATTCCAACAGAGTAGTCGATCTCATCACCTACATCGACACCAAGAAAGCTTAAGGATGTCAGGCACTTCTTTAAGGGCGTTTTTCCGTACTGAGGCATTAGGCGCCTCAAAGAATGTTTCATGATCAGTGTTTAAAGCATCTTTATTGTAAGGGACTAGATAGTAGTCCTTTGTTCATGTCAAAATTATTATATTATCCAGTTTTATTTTTATTTAAAATTTAGGATTATGTATAATATACATGTTGAAACAAATTGTCATTTTCTGTCATCCAACATTCCTCCTCTTCCTTGTATCCTTTTTCTTTTACTATGTGGTTTTAAAAGGTTTTTATTCAAATTAAGATGTGGTACATTTTCATTCAAACTAAGTGAGGGTAGCCAGATATGGCGAAAATTCCACCGAACGATTGCCAGTATAAGAACACACACTTACTACCAACGGTAATAACCAAAGGCGAATGAATCAAGTAAATGGTCAACGGCATAAGGATGCAGAAGGCAAGGAGAAACCAATGCATTAAAGATCCAATTGGACATCTCTAGTACAGTCATCATGGCAATAAGGACTAAAAGAAACTGATCATGAGAATCGGAGCCCAAGATCCGGCAGGGGAGGAACAGGCAAGGACTCCCCAGGTCATTAACCGGCGAAACCCTTGTCAAACATCGAAACAAGACAAAGTAAAATTATCAAAAGCAAAAATAGGTACGTGCGTCACAAGCATGTATCAACCTGGTAAAATGCATAATATCCTTCAAGAAATGAGAAGAAGCAATCTCATGTCGTACGTTGCCATGTTACCAATTCCACTGGTAACTTTAACATCTCAACTTATCAGAACATGTAATGTAACAGAAATTTAAACTAACAACATTTAACGGGTTTTACCCAAATATTTAGTGGCTTAAAACATGTACACTTAGTTAAACTGATGATGGAATAAAGGATTTTAAATAAAAAAATTTTGTGATACATGGTATACAGTCAGCTACAGGAACTTAGTTTCCTAGTGGACCATCAAATAAGTTAAAACATATCCAGGAGCAGATGTCACATCAGACCATAACCCACTAATCGCTAATGTCATGCTTAAGCTTAAACGTATTAGAAACCCCCAAAGAACTCCAAAATTAGATGGTAGAAAGAAGCTGATATATAAAAAAAACTCCGCAGAAAGTATACGAAAACTTTGATAAATTTATGATACTAACCTAGTAACATGATAATACTAACACCTACGAGATAAACCAACAATGGAAACATTAACAAACTGCCTCCTCGTTCCATGTAAAGAGATATTAAAAGAACCGATAAGAGAGACAACTGGATGACCGACAAATGAGATAATAAGAGACAGAGATAAAAAGAGAGACAATGATAAACATTATTGGTTATCATTGTCTCGTTAAAAAAATTTTTAGAAATTCGTGTTTTTATTGGTTTACTCTATTTGGCAGGTGTTTTGAAAAGTGGTAGGTTAAGCACAGACGAACTTTGGAATTAAGACGGTACAGTAATTGAGATATTTCGACTAAAAATGTCCAGGCACCGCTTTAAATTTTTTACTACAACACTAAGGTTTAATGATATAGATTCACGTGAGGAAAGAAAACTATTAGATTGTCCAATACGAGAGATTTTTGAAATGTTTACTTTTAATTGTAAAAATGGTTATATGCCGTTTGAATACGTCACAATAGATGAAAAATTGGAGGCATTTAGAAGTCAATGTTTTAGATATCGACTTCTAAATAGGGGGAGAATACAGCTTCAAACAGTATATACCTAATAAATAAACGAAATAAATATGGATTAAAAAATTTTACGCTAGCAGATTCTAAGACCTTTCATACCTGCAATTTGTAGCCATATTTGGGGCAACAACCACCAGGTCCTTTTGTTGTAAGTAATTCTCCATCGAAAGTGGTAAAGAGATTACGTGAGCCTCTAAGGGCGAGCGCCCACCAAAGTGGCGTGGCAGTGGCAAGTAGCACGCGTCTAGCATAATGTAACCAATGAAAACGAATGATTCAGTTTACACCAAAATGACAGTAACGTCATTCATTCTAATCATTCGTTAGGATTGGTTACATTATGCTAGACGCGTGCTACTTGCCCCGCCACTTTGGTGGGCGCTCTCACTAAGAGGAACAAAACGGAACATTTCTGTGGACAACTGGTTTTCAAGCATACCAATAATCCAAACCTTGCTTCGTGATTGCAAACTTACATTTCTAGGAATGTGTCGCAAGAATAAGAAGGAATAACTCCATTAATTTTCTAAACCCATATATTACCCTTTTATGATAATATTACTTTGGGGTCCTATATACCAAAAATAAATAAAAACGTACTCCTGTTTAGTTTACATCATGACGATACAATTGAAGAGGATTCCATGAAACGCGAAATGATTCTTGACTACAATTCTACAAAGAGAGTTGAAACAGTAAACAAGTTATGTGCTGCCTATGACTGCACTAGGAATACTTGATCATGGCCAATGGTAATTTTTATTTCCATGCTAAATGTAGCTGGTATAAACTCCACGGTCCTTTTATATTGTAATAATAACGAGATTCGTTTACCACGAAGACAGTTTTTGCACAATTTAGCATTCGCTCTGATTCAACCACAGCTTAACGTTCGTGCTTGTCAAGCCAATATACCACGTATCATGTCAGCGATAATAAAAGAAATCAGTAATAATGCAAATCACCCTCGACATATTCCAAAAGGTAGTAGGGCAGATGTGACTTTTTGCGACAGAATAAAAAACAGACCTACCAGTAGCAAATGCAAATAATGTGGAAAATTTATGTGTGGTGAACACACTGTATACTTGTCCAGATTGTTTTGAAATTTTTTTGAATAGATTTAGAACATACATATATACAGTGTGGAAAACACCAAAACATATAATGAGGCAAACACTAGTAGGGAGAAGGTCAAAGTGAAGACCCAAACTTAGATACATGGAACAAGATCTGAAAACACTTAAGATTACCAACTGGAAAAACAAAGCAAGGAACAGAACAGAATGGCGGAAAATCCTAGAACAAGCCAGGACCTAGAAAGGGTTGTCGAGCTACTGATGATGATGATACAGTCTGCAAACCACTAATGGAATAAAATTGTGTCCTTATTTTAGAAAATAATAAAAAACGTTGAGGTACCTTAACTTTCAAATTTAAATGTGTGGTTTTTAAACATAAATTTGAATGTACATTTACGCAAGTCTGGCATAGTCTATCTGTATTTTAAATGAAACACCCTGTATATTTTTATGATTTTAAAAGCTCCTTAAGAACCTGATCTCAACGAACTATATCATGTAGGGTCTATTATGAATAATATTTTGAAATTAAGTATAATTTTATTTATTTTAATTGACTTTAAGTAAGACAATTAATTTATAGAATACCCGAGGTAATTGATTGGACTACATTAAAATAAACTATCAAAATAAGACGGTCTTCTATAAAACTCGTCGCGAACTTTGTCTAAAGTTTGAATATTTTGTATTTCTGTAGTTACCCTTTATTTGAGGTAATTTACCATCTACAAATATAGGACCAATAATATGATCCATAATATACCTGCCCAAACATTCAACTTTTGAGGATACTGAGTGTAACAAATATCTACAGTTTTGTCGGTTTACCTCTTCCTTCAATGTAAATGTTGATTCATCAGAAAAAAGAATTGCGCCAAGAGCTATTTCATTTGTGTTAATTTTATCCGTCATTCTTTCGCAGAAATCCATTCTACGATCTGGATCGTCTTCTGTTAGCTCCTGCACAAAAGTCAATTTATATGATATGATATTTAGACAGTTGTGTGAGTCACATTAATTTGACGTGAACTTGACGTTGGATTCTCTGCGACACTTAACAAAATATCCACTTTCACCTCATCTTCAATGAAGTTCGGTTTTCTTTTTAATGGTTTGACATGCCCAAGTTCTCTGAATTGTACATAAATTTTAAACACAGTACCTTGTGAAATAGTAGGCAACTGTGGATACCTCTGATTAAATAAGTCTTAGTTTTGAATAAATAAGTCTTAGTTCAACTTGACTTCTACAAGTCTCCCCGTAACCGATCATCATTAAAATCTCAATTCGGTGGGTCTCAGTTAAATATTTCAATTTTATTTCTGCAAGAAATTAGCTTTTAATTAAGAATTTATTATTTTGATGTAAAATGTCAACACACCAACAACTGATTGAGTGACACTTGAGTGGAAGTGTATTGTCTGTATTTATCAAATTTAAAATAATACCATAACACGTGATAAATTATTAATTTCAAAATTTCACCTTTTAATATTCATTATAGACCCTATTTGATATAGTTCATTGAAATCAGGTTCTTAAGAATCTTTTAAAAACAAAAATATACAGGGTGTTTCATTAAAAATAAGGATTATGGACTATATCAGACTTGCGTGGATCACCCTGTACATTTAAATTCATGTTTAAAAAGCGCACATTTAAATTTAAAAGTTAACGTCTCCCAGAGTTTTTTATTATTTTCTATATAGGACACAAACAATTTTATTCCATAAGTGGTTTCCACACTGTATATATATTTTCTTAACAAATATTAAAACTTTTAATCAGTTGTTTTGATTTTTAATAATTATTTTTTTTTTCGGAATGTGTTATCGATATTAAATATTTTGAAATTGTATAACATTTTACTCAGAATAAATGCTCAAACAGTGTTTTCTCATTTTCAAATAGTTGATTAACATCTACTTAAATCATTTGAAAAGTAAAGTAGAACAAATTTAAGCCAAAAGGTTTGGCAACAAACATCCTGTGTAACTTGACGATTTCTAGAATTATTAGATACTCTTATTCGTTAATACAGTTGATTTTATATCGTAATACAATTAATTTTTTCTCTTTTTAGACCTTACAGGTAAAGGTAGCTACAATTATAAGATTCATTAATAAAAGTAAATTCTTTAGGTAAATTAACTGGAATGGCGTTTAGAGTCCCTACTCCCAATGTGTCTGTAGTAGATTTGACAGTGAGACTCGGAAAACCTACCACGTTTGAACAAATTAAAGATGTAATGAAGCAGACATCCAAAACAACTATGAAGGGTATTTTAGGTTATACCGAAGAACAAGTAGTATCCACTGATTTTAACGGAGATTCCCATTCGTCTATTTTTGATGCTAAAGCAGGTATAGCCCTATCGGACCAATTTGTTAAGCTGATATCATGGTACGACAACGAAT